GTGTTGGTTGAGATGTATAATAACCTTTATATTGTTTCTTTACAGCCAAATCTTGCAAGTATATTGTTGGAAAAACTCCCAGAATTCTCAGATGAAGAGTAAGTATTACACATTTTTTGAGTTTTGTCAGTTATGATGTATGTATGTGTGAATGCATGTTAATACCATAGAACACCAAATATCTTCCATTGACAGCTTATGTTAGATTTCACAAATTAATCTTCTTTAGTCCAGAATTAACAAGTATTTTTACAGAAACATTAAATGCTATAAAGTGATGAACATTGTAAACCATTTTAATTTCGTAAGGGAAAAATGTTTGTGAATTTCGAAAGTAAGTGAATGAGTGCGAAATGTCATCAACGGTTTTGACAACTTTACGAATGCCATAAAACCATCAAATCGTAAAAATTGAGCAGTTTACAGTATAAGTTGTTGATTTTATCTTGGAGAAATTACTAGTTTAACTAAATTCTGTTTCTACAGTCAAGTATTCGATCACACTGGTACAGTTAATATACCACATCTTATAATGAATCAATTCAGATGGTTGGACAGGATTGTCAAAAGTAAGGTTAGTATTATACCACTTTTATAGTTGTTCTCCCTCTATAGGGTTGGACATCCTAACTTTGTGTGTACAGCACGATATCCAACTTGACCTTTATACTGCAAATGACAGCTAATCACAAAGCTCCGACAGATGTATTACAACTGAATAAACTAATTGACTGTATTTTGAATACTCATTCAAATGTCTACTAGTATGTGAAACAAATGGAATTCAAAAGTAAATGGATAGGCTTCACCTCAATACCTCAAGTATCACCTCAATTCTTGTGTGTAAAATGCCTGACAGGTGTTCATTATCTTTTGACAACAGAACTACTTCTGTAATCATTAATGTGTATCACACTATTATTTAACCAATAATGAATCCTCCACAGCTTCATATTGGATGGTGCAAAGAGTCTATGGTTAGATAATGTGTAAGGCAATGCTGAAGACATTAGTGCATCTAAGGTTTCTCTGAATTCAATATGACGCTGCAGGGATTTATTATTGTCATAAATCACCACTGTCAGAATAAACAAAAATAGTTAAGGTTGTGGACTTTTTGTTGAATTGAATTTTCTTGGTAACAGAGGTTTACATTGTTTGATATTGTAAAGCTAAGATGTCATAAAAATTTCTAATTCTGATATGTTGATATATGTCTCTGTCATTGATATACAGTAAAACCTGTGTATAGTGACCACAGGTGATATTTACATAAAAGTGGTCACTATAGGCAGGTGGTATTTATATAAAGTGGTCACTATAGGCAGGTGATATTTACATAAAAGTGGTCACTATAGGCAGGTGGTTTTATATTAAAGTGGTCACTATAGGCAGGTGGTTTTATATAAAAGTGGTCACTATAGGAAGGTGGTATTTATTTAAAGATGGTCACTATAGGCAGGTGGTTTTCATATAAAAGTGGTCACTATAGGCAGGTAGTTTTCATATAAAAGTGGTTTCTAACACTGTTTGACTGTATATTACGCTATTATTGCAGGATCTTGTTGATAAGATGTTTGAGGTTGTTGAGATCACATCAATTGAAATCCAGAGAGAAATCGTAACATGTTTACCTGAAGTGGTAGAAGACAGTGAACATGGTGATGTAGCAAGACAACTCAAGTATGTATATTTTGATATAGGGAAATAAATAGTACATATGCTATCACATAGGGTACACTCCCTCAGGTCTTGAACTTCACAGAGACAATTGATGTCCAATGTGTTAGCCTTGGTGCCTTCTGGTATTCCCTGTATTATGCTAATGGAACTTTTATCAACTTTGACTTTGAAAATGGGTACCCTCCCAACTCTGAAATTCAAGTTAATTTGAAGCTTGCAGATAGCGAATTCTTTTGATATCTAATGATCGCAATATGTGTCATGATGCAAAGTATGAATGCAACTTTAATGGAAAGACTGTTGGAAAGGTAATATTGCAAAATTAAAATATAACTAGGATAAATTGGAAACTTTCATCCAGGGTTATAGCCAAAAAATAGAAACTGCCTTTATAAAAACTGTATCAAAATGAAA